GAAGATGCTGCTGTAATAATAATAACAACTTTTTAATTCATAGCCCGCCCATCTGGCTGGGTTTCCCCAGCCACTCTAGGCAGCTTACAACATATATAAAAGCACAACAAAACATCAAACATTAAAGAAAATATCCAATACAAGCAACAAACAAATCAATAAATCAATAGAAACCAACAACAACAATAATAACAATAATAAGTTATACCCAAATTAAAATAACCGCCAACCCCAACTAAACATTTAACCAACACCAACCCAACAAGAACAGAACAGAGAAACCAGAATTAGAACCATTTAGAACATTTTTGCCAGTTGCCCCAACCCAAGAGTGGTTCCAGCAATGCCCCTCCAGCCTCTCAGGAAACTTTTAGCTGTTCAAGGTGAGTCTGGGCCCTGCCCCCTAGGCCAGTGAAAATGGGCCTTGCAGCAGGGAGCGGGTCTTCCTTCCAGCACTCATGGCAGCAGTCATGCCGCAGGGATGATGTATTGCAGGGGGTTGGACTAGATGCCCCATTGGGGTCTGAAATATACTCGGAGTCCCGTAGTGATTTCATTCTCTTTATTGCAGCTTGTAAAACAGTGGTTGAATTGCCCCCCAAACCACATGCTTTTATAACATTATTTACACAATGTGTCCCGTCTGATTGGCTGATTCTGCTTCCCTCCTGGAGCCTGATTGGTCTTTTCCTGCAAGCCAATCAGTTGTTGCATTCTAGAACCCTACTTGTCTATTGTTCTAGGATCCAAGCTTAGTACAGTGGTACCTCAGGTTAAGAACTTAATTCGTTCTGGAGGTCCGTTCTTAACCTGAAACTGTTCTTAACCTGAAGCACCACTTTAGCTAATGGGGCCTCCTGCTGCTACGGTTTCTGTTCTCATCCTGAAGCAAAGTTCTTAACCCGAGGTCCTATTTCTGGGTTAGCGGAGTCTGGGTTAGCATCTGTAACCCGAGGTATCACTGTATATAACAGGGTCCCTTCTAACTCTACAGTTCTAGGATTCTATGAAAAGGGCCCAGACTTCTATAAGAATCTCCTACTGCAAGGGAGTCAAGAAGCCTCAGGTCTTCCAGAGTTGTCTGCCGCAGAGCCCCCCAAGTCAGATGATGGCAGCACCAAGTCCTTGGGCTGGCAGGGAGGGGGGCCCTGGTTTCACAGGTTTCTTGAGGAGCAGTGGCTTTGAGTAGGACTGACCCCGCATGCCTTTCCAGCATCAGGTGAGGAGGAATTTGGTTCCTGTTCCCAGGTAACTAGCACCTCTCCCTCTGCACTTGGCTGGCACACCATCCTCATGGGGTAAACATTATTTACTTGAATTGTTTGCCACAATAATTGGGTGTTTCAAACTTTTACTTATTACCTTTATATCCCACAAACGTGCTCAAGGTGGCAGGCATGAAGTTTTAGGAGACTATTTTTAAAAAAACCAAGCTGGAAGTGGTCTTTGATCTCTGCTCTGTGTTCTCATGTCTCTGCTGCCTGATGGCAACAGTATTTGCTCCTCGGGTTTTTATTAAGCTTCAGTTTGTGGGAGCTTTGTTTTAGAGAGAAAGGTGGCACATTGATGTATCAAATTAAACAGATTCCTGAATAAGTAAGTAAATTTGGCTATGCTGTCTGGAGTTGCACCCCAGAATACTAGGTTGTCAGAGACTGATACAGGCATGAGTTGGGGGTCAAAATAAATTCAGGAGGATAAGGCCTTATGGGACAGGGCTGCTGCTCAGTGACAGAAAATCTGCCTTGCATGCTGAATGTCCTGGGTTCAATCCCTGCTGGCATTTCCAGATAAAGTTGGGAGAGACTCTGAAACCTAGAGAGTTGCTGCCAGTCAGTGTAGACAATACTGGGGTTGATGGCCCAACAGCTCAATAGAAGGCGGCTTCTATTTTCAGAAAGGAAGCACTGCATGCTTGTAGTTGCCCACTAGGGGGAGCTGCACCCTAAACGAATGAGCAGAAGCCGTGAAGCTGAATTGGAATGGTGATATTTTCCACTGGCCGGCTTGACCCACAAGTCAGTAAGTGTGGATTAAGATGGAGTGGTTTAAGCCTGGAATCTGCTGCATGCATGCAACAGGGGGGATCAGGCCCTGACCTAAGAACCCCTCCAAAGCACCAGGCCAGAGCTGGCACACCAAGGGATAAGAAGCAGTGTCGTTCCAAGAAGACTGCTGTCAGAGTGTTGCTGATAAGGGCAATCTAGGGCATAGCCAGAGAGCAGTTGCAGCCAGGCCCTGAAGGGTAAGGAATTAAGGTGCAGTTAGTAAGCTGCCAAAGTCCACAGATGGGCAGTCCATCTGAAGGGGGCTGACCGACCTCTGGTTTTCAACATTTTGATATATATCACCAGCTGAACATCTTGATATATCACAATGTCTGAAATAAGCTATGGAGTAGCTATGTAGAAGCATTGGCCAGCTTCACAGATTCCCCCTCATTGCAATTTCCCCACAGCACACACACACATCATGATTTGCAATATATCGCTAGGTCAGAAATTAAGAAACCAATGTCACGTTATGGACTTCAAACCAGTTTTGGACGATATATCAATATATCACCCAGCCCTAGCTGAGAGTGTAGTCCTAGACTGTGGATTCTTAACTAGCTCCTACCAATCTCTTGATCTCTTATCTATATCTTTTTTTAAAAAATCATTATTGATTTTCCAATAAAAAAAAATCCAATTAAATATCCAATCATAATACTTCAATTAAAATAAAAAACTAAAATAAAAAGATCAAATTATAGTCCGAATTGTATTTATTAATTTCCACGGCCTGGATCTCTGGAGCATATCTCCACATCTTAGTCCTGCTGGTCCCTTATCTATCTCTTGATCTCTTATCTCTTATAGCACAACTGCGCAGTTAAAGAAGCACCAACCTTGCTATTGTCAACTGACTCCACAGATAAACCTAGCCTTAATCTCCAGCCCAGTAATTCATTTGCCTTTTCTCGCCCATCAGTTTGTGTCTGATTCTCCAAAGGTCCTCATCTTTATAGTCCCATCATTGTCAAAGGTTTGCAAATGATCAAATAACAGAAGCGGAGGACATGACTACTGCCTTTGGCAACAGGGTTGGTAGGTCTCTTGCTCTTTCCTCTTCACAGAGCATGCAAAACATACTGTACCTTTCCCTCAGAGAAAAAGTAAACAAACAGAAAGCATCATCTAATCACTGTGCATGACAAGCTTATTGTTGATGACCATTTATAAGATTCCTGGGTTTAGTGGGTGCCCTCGTGCACCACCAGGTTCTGGAGTCTGGGGATATGAATCACCTGGGGAGCACCAGTCGAAGAGTCACGTAGCAGAGGAGAGCACCCTGTGCTGGCGTTGGGTGACTCAGCTTGCTAGATCAGCCAGACTCATCTTCCAGGGCTGGAAGCATTAACTGTGAATTCATGAAGGCTTTCATCAGCACAGCTGGGGCCTGGAGACATTCCTGGAGTTATGTCTTCTCACTCAGAAGGGAGGGAGGGGAGAGAGAAATTCAAAAGCAGGCAATAGTTCAGCCTTCCCAAGTAAAAATTCCAACCTTGCAACTCTTGCCAAGTTTCCCATAGGAGTCCAAATTACCAGCTGCTTTCAAAATTTCTGGCTGGGAGGTGGAGGCTTTTGATCAAGGAAGGGTCATGCTGGACATTTTCCAAAGGCCTCGCTATCTCACCCCAAACAAAAAAACTCAATTTCCAGTTGGTTAATTGGCTGTTGTAGTTTGGAATTCCAGCAGGGCTGATTTTTTAAAAAAGGGAGGCCCACCACAACCCTCAGATGCCGGAGGAAAGAAGGGTTGTAGTGAGGACACGGCACTTTGTTCATGCTCAGATAAAAGCACAGCCCAAAAGCACAGCCCAAAAGCTCACAGTCCCTGCAGCGTCTGGCAGAAAATCGCCCAGGTCCTCCACATGATGTCAGAGCTGCCTCATGGGACAATTAGAGGTGGCGGGTGGCGCTGTGGGTTAAACCACAGAGCCTAGGACTTGCCGATCAGAAGGTCGGTGGTTTGAATCCCCGCGACGGGGTGAGCTCCCGTTGCTCGGTCCCTGCTCCTGCCCACCTAGCAGTTTGAAAGCATGTCAAAGTGCAAGTAGATAAATAGGTACCACTCCGGCGGGAAGGTAAACAGCATTTCCGTGTGCTGCTCTGGTTCGCCTTAGTCATGCTGGCCACATGACCCAGAAGCTGTATGCCAGCTCCCTTGGCCAATAAAGTGAGATGAGCGCCGCAACCCCAGAGTCATCCGTGACTGGACCTGACGGTCAGGGGTCCCTTTACCTTTACCATAAGGAAGCCATCACACGAGCAACAGCACCTCCAGCAAAGCCCTCCCTAAACCAGCTGTTAAATATGAATATTCTTGAACCAGGGAGCTTGGCAGCCAGGTGGTAGTGCCTTTACTGCCTATTTGGGGCTTCCGGATTCCACCTTCATTTTGCCAGTCATGATACCACCTTGGCTATGTTTAACCTGCTCCTCTGTGAGCCTTGGATATCCAAAGCGTAGTGGCAAATTCAGCAGTGCAGGGGTCCCTTTGTGATAGTCACAGCCATGCCCCTTCTTATACAATAATCTGATAAATATACAATAGTAGTAATTAGAGATGTACTGCAATGGTCAATGCAGATCTCCATGTGTTGTATTTCAGCCGGATCTACTATTTTCTTTCTTTTTTTTTTTAAATGATATTTATTAAGGTTTCCAATAAAAAGAACACATCAATAAAAAATTAAAAATAAAAAAGAAATACACAATTCAAAAATACACAATACATAATCCCCCCCAAAAAAAACCAAAAAACAAAAGACAAAAAAGAAAACAGTTAAAAACAATACCACCTTTTCATCTCCATTTTTAAATTTACTTATTTTCTGGACCTCCTCATACCTCCCTCTTTTGTATTCCAGTTCAAATTGTTTGTCCAGCAATTTCTTTCCCTCTTTTTTAATCCCAATCTTTAATCTTAATATAATATAGAAACAATGTATTTCTCGGATCTACTATTTTCTTTGCATGTACCTGGGCAAATGACTTGGAGTGCTCCAATATCTTCCTTTGGAGCAACTTAATTCATGTTTTCCTTGAAGTTCCACTGCACATAACAGAAACTGAAAGCACCTTGCGTTTTCAGTGTTCGTGAATGCTTAGCTTTGGAGCATACAGAACATCTCCCCCTGTTGATCTTCCTGTGCATCTTCTCTAGAGCGAAGTGGCTGACTCACCTCCTTTCACTCCAATCCGCACCAAGGGTGAGAAGACTTCTCCGTGGCTAAGAAGCTCCCTTTCATGCTGATTGGGTGGCTCTCGGACCCTGGAGACTGGGATCCTGAAGAGAACCTGCTGCAGAAAGAGTAAGCAGGTCTTAGAACCCCCATGACCGCTACACCCCTGGCTCTCCCTCATTCCTGCTACCTATTCTTGACCTCTCCCCTTCTCTCCCCCCCCCCATGAGTCACCCATCATTTTCTTTTCACAGAACACAAAGCAACTTCCATCAGCCTGGTGTCCTCCTAGCTCTTATACTGCTGTTCTCAGTGGCCTTCATAGAAACCTGGATTTCAATCAGTTTGTCTTGTAAAACAGTGAATGATGGAGCAATTGTTAGCCAAATGAAATATAAAAAGTTTTGCTGCAAATGCAATTTTCCACTGACCCACAGTGTGCTCTCTTGTTTCACAGTAACTTCTATACTGAAGCAACAATACTAAACAGCAACAATAATACGGTCACTGAGCTACTGGGCCCAATTCTGGTGTATAAAGCCTTAAATGAGCTTTCTCCAATTCCAACCATCTCTGACCCTACAATGGCAGACGAGGCCTTGTTGGTGCCGTCACTGAAGGCTGTTTGCGCTGACTCACTACAGGGCCTTTCTGGTGGTAGTCCCCTGGTTGTGAAATGCCCTCCCTATTGAGGTCCCTGTCTCTATCATTATTGTTACACAACACCTCAATCTCTGCTAAGCGGTAGCAAGATTCCAGGGGGTTCGGGCGCTCACTCAGGGCCATGTTTCTGTTGTGAATTCAGGGCAAGGCAGAGGCTGTAGTTTTTAAAAAAGATATATGGTTTATTGTACAGCTATATACACCTGGATCTACATGGAGAGGAAGAGAGCTCACAGCATTACATCTCCAGAGATGTCTCTTCTCTCATAGCTTCAGCCAGCTTGAGTCCAGAGCACCCAGCCATGCTCTCCAGTCTCTGGCTTGCAACCTCTCCAGTCAACAGGGCGGGCGTGCTCCCGAGAGGGACGGCGCGTGGCACAGAGGGTGCCCTCCCAGGTGCGAGATAGCCACTCAGGTGCCCAGAGCGGCGCGTGCACCCTGAGGCCGGAAGGATGGAGCGAGCTGCCCAAGGCAGACATTTGGTGCACCACTTCCGGGGGAGGCGCCTCCGGTAATGGCAGAATTCCTCTGACTGGGAGGAATCTGCTCCGTGGAAATCTGGGTCTGGCCGCCACGGCGAAGGCGGAGACCCGTTAAAATCACAGGCGGGAGAAGCCTCTTAATGTGGGATTCGGCGGGCACCTTTTGCGCCTCCCCCACTCGTGGGGAACCCCGGTTTTTGGGGCTCCGGAGCAACGTGGGGTGAGCGGCGCGGTGCATCGAATCGTCTGCTTCTTCCACGGAGCGAAGCCGCATAGCTGTTACTGGAGAGCGCTGACCTTTTCCTGTGGACAATTTGACTTTAAAGTAATTACCCGTGAGTAGAGCTGAAACGGAAGAATTGGATTTCTAAAAGTTTAATTTGGTATCGTAACGGGGAGGTTCAAAACAGGAAGTCCGCCTTCCCTTTTTGTAAATAGACTGAGGCAATGAAGTTGTAAGCTGGAGTCCTGGAAGGTCTTTTGTAAAAGATCAAATTTCCAACGGTAAAGAACATTAAACCCCCTCTTGGAGGCAGGAGAAGAGAGGGCGAAGTTGCGGATTGAGTATGCCTGCAGGAGAGAGCGAAGAGACTTAAAACACCGCCGCTCTGACCCTGGAAACGGGCTGCTAGTAGGACTGACGTCTTTTGGAATGTTCATTGACAGCGCTTAGAACGTTCATTGACAGCTAGCTAAATAAGAGAAATACATTGTTTCTACTGTCTCCGGCTGCTTTAAAAAGGAGTAAAAGTAACTGAAAATTGAAACTAATTTGAAACTAACTTTGGATTGTTTAAAAGAGGATACTATTGACTATTACAAATAGAAACTGTTTCCCCCTAGTGGAAGCCTTTGAAACTGGTTGATATACAAGAGTTGGACTAGGGGAATTTCCAGCTGCAAGTTAAAAACCGTGAGACTCTGGGACTGACCTTGAATCTTTCAAATGCTATGGTAAAGGGAAGAGGAAAAACAGACCAGTCAACTGTTGATAAAACATTAAGGTCTGGGAGGACTTGGTAATAATCCAGGAGAGGTCTATTATTAGGCCCTCCTGTTCTTTTTGTTGCTGTCTTTGTACTAGTATATTTGAAACCAAGAGAAATGTCGACAGAAGAGGCTTTGGTGGCTGCATTATATAAGATAAATGACTCATTGGATCAGCTTCACAGGAAAAAGGACATGATAAATGCGAAAGTGGATGTTTCAATTGTTGAGGTTGACTTGAATGTAGGGAGTATGGACAATACTAATACAGAAATCACCCAGAAATTGATACAAGAACCTATTTTGATATGGCAAGCTGTGGAGGAAGTCAAGGAAAAAGCTGTTGCTGTTGAAGGTACAGAAACACAACTGGAGAGAAAGAGAAAGAGAGCCCCAGCCCTACAGAGGCAATTTGATGAACATAAGTTGACGCTCGCTATGACTGAACTTAAGGAAAAACAGACGAATTTGAGGATTAGAGTTCACCTTTGGTGGACATGCCCAAGGATTAAGACACTCTGGGAGATGATTCATAACGAAATGAAAAAGGTATTTAAATATACCCTTTTGAAGAAACCAGAGGCCTTTCTCCTGGGGATGGTCGGTCAATTGGTGTTAAAGAAGGATAGAATTTGTCTCATGTATGCAACAATAGCAGCAAGAATACTCATTGTGAAGTACTGGAAGACACAAGATTTATCCATTCGGGAAGAATGGCAGATGAAGTTGATGGACTATATGGAATTGGCGGAAACGACTGGCAGAAATCCGAGACCAGGGAGAAGAGCTGGTGGAAGAAGACTGGGAAAAGTTTAAGACTATTTATAGAAATACTGTTAAAATAATGAATGTTTGAAAAAGGTTGGAATGAAGTTATATGGCTTTAGTAGAAATGCTATAAGGAATCAAGTATAAATAGATTAATAGTGTATTAAAGGGAAAATAAGGCTAGAATATGTCAAGATAATTATAGGATAGAAAACAGAGGAAGATGGAAAGGAATTGCTGAAATAATTAATAGAAGTGGAAAACAGAAAGGGAGGTGTGAGGAGGTCGTGGAAATAAGGGAATGAAAGATAAGACACTGAAATTGTTCTGTGTTTAAAATGGTTTGTGTCATGCTTTGTTAGTTTTATGTTTTTCTGTTTTTTCTTTTTTTGTTCTTTCTTTTTTTCCTTTTTTTGTCTTTCTGTTTTGTTGTGTTTAAATGGTTGAAAATTAATAATTTTTTTTTTTTTAAAAAAAGACATTTGGCACACCGCCTGCCCGCGACTCCCAAGCCTCCACCAAGCTGTTAAAATGAAGGAGGGAATGCCACCAGCAAAGCAGTACAGCTCCTCCCTTGTCAGGAGTTCAACCTACACTCGAGTAGGACCCTGGCAGAGACACATGCCCGACTGGCATGTTCCCTCCCTCCTGATCGATCGTTCGGGAGCTTCATAATCTTTCTTCATCCCGAACATCAAAGCGACCGATGCCTACAGACAGCAGCACACTTAGGGATCCGCAGAGTTTGCGCATCATGCGTAACAGACCTCAGCAACTCAGCATTTTGGCTAATCTACTTTCTTTACATATAAACACACACAGAGAACTGCAACATGGCTCCCCCTCTCTCTCTAGCATCAGACAGCAAAGAGAAAAAGAACAAAGGACAATAGTCCCACTTCACGGAACACAGTAACACAAACATCCTGTCTCCGTCACTTCCCACTCTGTGGAGTCAAAACATACACAGTCATGTGATAGACAAAAATCCCATGACTGCAATCATGGAGCAGAAATTCTAACACCCCTTACCCCGACGGCTCGGGGTAGGCTTGGGAGTCGCGGGTGGGTGGTGTGCCAAATGTCACCCCCCTCAGTGAGGGCACCCGGGGCAGTCCGCCCCCCCTTCTTACGCCCCTGTCTCAGCATCCCTTGTCCCATGCAAAATGGCACTCTTTTTTTCCTGTCACCTCTCACACCACCACCAACCATTCTAGTGTCTCTGTCCCCTCCTCAGAGCTGGAGGAAGGACTGTTCTTCTGCATTGCCAATGGCTAAGTATTGTTTCCTTAGGGCTCTACACTTGGCTAGCTTGCCCAGGCTGGTTTGCATGAGCCGGCCCAGGGACCCCTTGTCCGGAAGAGCTGCAGCTTCCTATCCTAATTATTTCCCCTTCCTATTCCAATTATTAGCTAGATTCTGACATTCATTAATTTATTGGGTTTAGCGGGGGGTCTCTCCTCCCCTTGCAAACTTATAACATCATTAACTTGCAAGAGGAATCTGAAAACATTCCTGTTTACCCAGGCATTTGCTGGCTGAAGAATACTGCTCCTGGCAGCCTCCAGATCATTGAATTATTTTTTTAATGCAATTGTTTTTAGAAGGTTTGAGTTGGTTTTAGAATGTTTTTGCTTTGTTTTTGTTTTTAAATTGAATATGTGTTTTTGCCTCCCTTGGCTCCTTAGAACGGTGAGATATAAATTCAATAACTAAATAGTAAGCAATAATTCTCTTGCTTGCAGCCAGAGCCAGTGAGTGTAGCCCCTTAGGGCATAGACCTCAGAGGGGCAGAGTGGTGACTTCTGTGGGGCACAGTTTTATACAGACTAGCTTTTTTATATCTTACACATTCCAGATAATATTTTACTTCTGTTTTATATTTTGAAGAATTTAATCATTTTTAGAAGGCACCTGTTTTTGAAAAATTAGCATTTTATTTTATTTTTGCAGGGGTGCAAGAGGTTGTCTTGTCTGTGGTACAAAATAGCCTGGCATCAGCAATGCTTGAAGCACATGACCCCACGGGCCAGTCTTCCCCAATCTGATGATCTCTAGAAATGGTTTGACTCCCAATGTGCATAAGCTCTGACCATTGGTCATGCTGGCTGGGGCTGATGGGATTCATAGTCCAAAGCAGCAAATTGGGGAAGGCAGACCTAAACTTTCAGAAGTAATGCTTTGCTAAAGAAAAATAAAATATTAAAAAAAATGCTTTGCAACCCGTTGGAGATTGCACTCTTATTGCATTCTGCCTGCCTCCCTCAGCCTTCTGACAACCACAGAAAGCGTTAATTAGTGGGTGTTTTTAACAGTGCTCTGGAGACAAAGCTCTCAAAATATGATCATGTGCCCTGGCTTTGTTGCTACACCACGTTCCTTTCACTCACTGCCAAAGGATTGTCCATTTTATTTTATTTTTGGAACCAGCTTGTTATTTCTGCCCATCCTTAAACAGATCCTCAGCACAAACGGGAGGATGGAGGTGTGTGTGTGTGTGTGTGTGTGTGTGAGTGGTGGTTAGAAGTCTTAAGTTTGTAACAGTAGAACAATTCACAATGTCTGAGGCCGTAATAGGGTTCCGCATCCCACCTTCCTCCTGGGAAAGAAAAAAGAGTTAACGGAGGAGGCTGAGATAGTGCACATTATATTGGATGATACATGTTTGAATTTTGGCAACTTGTGTGGAAAAAGGGACCCATGCAGGCAAGGCTGTAATCTTACGAACTGACCTCACTGAGGATAATAATAATAAATTCTACCTCAATTTTCCATCATTCTTTCTGCAACCCTTTCTTGTCTCATCCCCAGGTCAACTTTACCTCTGTCCCTTATTTCCTCTCTTATCTCAGCATCCTCCCCCTCTGTTTTTTGCTCCCTCCTTCCTCCAGCTCCCTTTCTCCTCTACCAGCACTCTCATGGGGTCAGGCTGACTTTCTTCATGGGATGAGGATGGGGGATTCAGAGTAGGGGAGGGGATGATCCACAGGGCCAGTCCCAGAAGCAACCTAACCAACTAGGAGCCCTTCCCTAAGAAGAGCCTGTGGAGCCATCTCAGAAGCTCTAGGGCAGAGCCAGTTTGGTGTAGTGGTTAAGAGTGGTAGACTCGTAATCTGGTGAACCGGGTTCGCATCTCTGCTCCTCCACATGCAGCTGCTGGGTGACCTTGGGCTAGTCACACTTCTTTGAAGTCTCTCAGCCCCACTCACCTCACTGTGCTGGTTGTAGGGGAGGAAGGGAAAGGAGATTGTTAGCCGCTTTGAGACTCCTTCGGGTAGTGATAAAGCAGGATATCAAATCCAAACTCTTCTTCTTCTTTTCAAACTGATCCATGGACGCCCACGGTCCACGTGCTTCATTTAGGTAATCTGCCATGCATCTGTGGATTTGTGGTTGAAGATGGAAGGCAACACATCCATTGAATTATTGCTCCCTTTATTTCTTATTGTAATACAGTTTAACTTCCATAGAATTCAAATTATCATGCAATGTGAGGAATAAAAGAAGCAATAAAAATGAAAATAAAATTAACATAGTGAATTACAATTCCTACAACAGGCAGAAAAAATCATTAAGTGGTCCAACAAAACCCTCAGCAAATTTTGAAGTCATCTGTGGAGGGGAACTTTGGGGAACCTGTGCTATACTGCTACCACGGTGAGCAGAGTCAATTACTGCTAGAGCAGATTTTAAATGAAGAGGCTCCTTTCATGGAAGGCAGAGCTAGCAAGTGAGTAGGGACTGACGCCCCTCCTTAAAGCTCAGCCTGAGGGTGGCTGGTGCTGAAGCAACATTCAAGTTCTGCTCTTATGGAGTCTCCAGCCTGAGACCTGCATGGAGCTGTCCAGGGTGCTCTTGCCTTGTGTGAGGTCAGTGAAAGCGGGCCTTCTGACATCACACAAATGTGCAGAAGGCAGAGAGCTTAAAAGCTCTTCTTGTGCAGGGTTGTTGCCAGTGCAGAAAGAGCTCTTAAGCTCTCTGCCTTGCTTACCAGATTCTGGGATGTTCTGGTGCAGGCTCTGGGATGCTCTTGGGAGATCTCATAGCATCTTGGATAGCCCCACAAGATCTCGCGAGTGCAACCCAGAGCTCAGTAAATAAGGCCCGCTTGGTGCATGGCTCTAGAAAGGTAAGGATGTTCATATGGGGCTGGTTCCAAGGGGCTGAGAAGAAGAGGAGTTTGGATTTGATATCCCGCTTTATTGCTACCCGAAGGAGTCTCAAATCGGCTAACATTCTCCTTTCCCTTCCTCCTCCACAACAAACACTCTGTGAAGTGAGTGGGGCTGAGAGACTTCAGAGAAGTGTGACTGGCCCAAGGTCACCCAGCAGCTGCATGTGGAGGAGCAGGGAATCGAACTCGGTTCACCAGATTATGAGTCTACCGCTCTTAACCACTACACCACACTGGCTGGTTTAAGTAAATGTGTTTTGTGTATATGAGCCATTCCTGGAACATAACCTCCACACAGGAAGTGGTTATACTGTATTCTAGGTGTACCTCTCGGCTTGTAATTATTTGGTTGCTTAGGAGCATGGGAAGGTGCCTCATACTGAGTCAAACTGTTGGTCCATCTAGCCCAGTATTGTAAGTGGTGATTGGCAGCAGCTCTCCAGGCAAGGGGACACCCCCAGCTTTACCTGGAGATGCAGGACTTGAACCTGGGACCTGGGAAAAGATACTTCACTCCTAGTGGCACTGCCACCCAAAAAAATCTGTGTGCTGGCATGCCAGCAGTAATCCTCACTTCCTTGCCCCCCTCTTCCAATGCACCTCCCTCCTCCCATGATTCTTCATTTTTTACACAAATAGAAAATTTAGGAAGTAAAAGTAATGGATCCAACGAGGAAAGAAAAATGCTCACCTACCTGGATTTCATTACAAAGGAACACGAGGAGTTGCATTCAGTGTTAGTCATACTCAGAGTAGGCCCATTTAAATTAATGACCATGACTGGCTTAGGTCAATTAATTTTAATGGGTCTACTCTGAGTAGGTCTTGGCTAGACACAACCCATTACAGGCAAGGCATGCCCCCTGCTTGAGTTACTGGTGGTATAAATTCATGTCTGCATTTCAACTTGAGATGTTTTGTGGCTTCCAAGGACAAATGAATCTAGGTTTGCTTTGGGGTAACCTATTTTCCCATGGTTATCTCTCTCTCTCTCTCTCTCTCTCTGTGTATGTGTGTATATATATATATATATATATATATATATATATATATATAGTGCATAACTGTATGTTCTGTAACAGCAGAGTGCTGATAAGAGAAGCAGACTGTAATTAACTGACATACTGTAATTAACTGACAAGCTATTTACTCCTATTTGTTTGTGGGACAGACTGTCCTGAACACACTGGCATGCTTAAATCAAAACCCAAAGCATTAGATCATGCAAGAGTCTTAGACTGCTGTTGCGCATGAAAGGAGAAAGGGGTCGTTTTAGCCTTTTGGGCTTCCAATTCATTCCAATTTGTCACCCCACCCCCAGCGACGAATTACCAGATGCAGTAGAGCTTCCTATTGCTTCGCAGTTTCTGGGATGGTCTCCAGCAAACTTCATTTTTGCACCACTTTTCAAGAATGTCCATTGGAAAATCACCTTCAAGTCAGGGAGGAGTTTCATTAATGACTCCCCATGTGGGTTCAGACAGGCCTCTGACCCCCCAGCTGCAATCTGAGATAGTCTGTGGCTTGTGACATCTGAGGATGGAATGTTTCTGTTGGGATACCAGTCCACTCTCCAATAGTATACCCAGATTTCTGGCTACTTCACCAATTCTTACAGCACAGAGGAGGAACTAAAATGTCTGTTTTCAGCAGTACACTTCCAGCCTGTTTAGGTTCAGGACCTAAGCATATGTTAAATTGGAGGCAGACTGACCATTGTGTAATAATAGCAGTAGTTGTATGCATTAGATTGAGGCCTTTTATTGTACAAAAAGAAAGGAAAGATACCGTAATTTAAAAAGAAATATAATTTCATCCATATACATAAACAGGAAACATAAATATTATTTCATATTATCATGTATCCTTCATATACAAAATTATTTGATGTCCTTTGTTAATTGACAAAAAGAGTCAGTTAAAGAGTGCTGCATACAATTACATCGTTTCTTTGGTTACTATTACATTTTAAGCAGAATGTCAGATTATACGAGTGAAAATAATATGTAAGGTTCAACACTATATTGGAATTTTAGTTTCCAACAATTAAGCAAGGGGCAGAATGTTTTTAAAAGAATTGAGAGAAGCACAGAGTTTGGCAGTTTCTTGCCTGAAGAGTACAGACCAATTTCTTTCACCCCATTATTTTTCCTACATTGGTATCCTACCATTCTTCCATCTTGGAGCCCAAGGGTGTGTCTGTGTCCAGTTCTGGGCACCTCAGTTTAAGAAGGATATTCATTTTCTCTCTCATGACGAGAAGAGGAGCTTGGCTTGTGTTTTCTTCCAAGCAAATTCTGTAATCGGGTATGGAAAAACATCAGTGCTGGTTTGAAAAGGGATCAGTGTTTATACATTGTTATAGGGGTTTTTTTTGGGGGGGTGTGTCAGTCAACGGTCCCTTCCAAGTCTGTGATCCTGTGTATATGAGGTTTGAGGCAGACTGTTTCTTTGGAAGATAATGGCCTTAGCTGACCAGTTAAGTACTGCCATTGACATCTCCAAAGACGTTGCCCTGTTGCCATAGAAACAAACAATGGGTAGGCCCTTCTTCAACTCACCTGCCTGGATGCCATGGCATCTTGGGAGGAAGAACAACAGGCTAAGGGGGGCTTTGTGTGTGAGGGAGGGAGGGAGAGAGACAGAGAGAGAGAGAAAGACAGACAGAGAGACAGACAGACAGAAAGAGAAAAAAGAAAAAGAAGAAAGAAAGGGAAGGAAGAGTTTTGGCTGAGGCTGAAAGTTGGAGACACAGAAACCTGTCTTGTTCTGGATTCAAAGCTGTGACTTAGGGCTTTCTTAGAAACATAATAGGAAGGCAAGTTTTATTGAGGTGTTAATGCTGTGAGCCACTCTATCCTATGTTCAGGTTTTAGTGTAAATAAAACAAAAAAATTCTAAAGACATCACAGTCTCCACTGACCTTCCTTCCAAGGAATCCGAACTCTGGGTAAGTGCTGAAACCCCTGTAGTTTCTCACTTCTCAGAGGTTGGGGTACATGCAACAATATGTTACATTTAAAACTGGGCATAGTTCTTCCTTTTACAATCTCAGGTAAGTAGCATGGAATTTGATACCAGGCACATAATTTAACATCTTGAGAATCACAGGTCTCATCATTTTAAAAAATAAGTTTCTAGGCCTTATGTTTATTTGTGCATTTAAAGCACTTCCACCCTGTGTTTCTCCCCAGCTGGGGTACCAAAAAAATTGACAGCAGAAATGGCCATAAAACCAAATTCAAATAAACCAAACATTACAAAGGAAATTAAAAACAAAAAAGACATTCAGAGGAGCCATTATTAATTAACTAAGAGAAATAAAAAAAGAGAGCAAGCATCCTCTGAGAAGCTAAGCAATAACAAAACAATAAAGGCAGAGTGTACAGCCAAAAATATTAATAATGATGAAGATGCTCTTGAAATCGTGGAGGGCCAAAATCCGTAGGGGGGTGGGGCGTGTTAGAAAGAAGCCAGAGTCTGAGCAAGCCTCCTCCTTATTTTCCAGAAGGCGATGAGTAAATGCAATGAAAGAAAATAGACTCAATTTGCCAAAAGCAAAAGTGAACAGAGCAACGGTTGCTGTTGCTCTCACTTTGGTACCATACACTACATTTGAAGGGGCTACCTTTGAAGGTGACCCAGCAATTACAACTAATCCAGAATGCGGCAGCTAGACTGGTGACTGGGAGCGGCCACCAAGACCACATAACACTGGTCTTGAAAGACCTACATTGGCTCCCAGTATGTTTCCGAGCACAATTCAAAGAGTTGGTGTTGACCTTTAAAGCCCTAAACGGCCTCGGCCCAGTATACCTGAAGGAGCGTCTCCACCCCCATCGTTCTGCCCGAACACTGAGGTCCAGCTCTGAGGGCCTTCTGGTGGTTCCCTCATTGCGAGAAGCAAAGCTACAGGGAATCAGGCAGAGGGCCTTCTCGGTAGTGGCGCCCGCCCTGTGGAACGCCCTCCCATCAGATGTCAAAGAGATAAACAACTACCTGACATTTAGAAGACATCTGAAGGCAGCCCTGTTTAGGGAAGTTTTTAATGAGTGACATTTTAATGTATTTTTAATCTTGGAAGCCGCCCAGAGTGGCTGGGGAAACCCAGCCAGATGGGCGGGGTACAAATAATAATTTATTATTATTATTATTATTATTATTATTATTATTATTTATTTATTATTCTTTATTATTATTATTCTTTATTATTATTATTATTTCAGTCATGTAAAAGTCATGGGTTTCTACATAAATTGACACACACCCCACTGTGTTTGACATTCAGGCAAGCAAGTGGCGTTAACACAGTTCAAGGGGAATATTCCATCCAGGCAAAAGCATTCAAGGAGGGCGTGGAGCAGGGTCAGTGAGGGGTGGAGCCTAGAGAGGCAGCATGGCCCGGGGGGGTGAGTCCTGAGGGCCAGACAGAGAGGCCTGGAGGGCCACATTCAGCTTGTGCGCCCAAGGTTCCCCAGTGTTGAAGTGCATTGCTATGACTTGGGAAATATATTCTGTACAGTGGTACCTCGGGTTAAGTACTTAATTTGTTCTGGAGGTCCGTTCTTAACCTGAAACTGTTCTTAACCTGAAGCACCACTTTAGCTAATGGGGTCTCCTGCTGCTGCCGTGCCGCCGGAGCACGATTTCTGTTCTCATCCTGAAGCAAAGTTCTTAACCCGAGGTACTATTTCTGGGTTAGCGGAGTCTGTAACCCGAAGCGTATGTAACCCGAGGTACCACTGTATTTCTCTTGCTTCTCTCTCTCTCGCTTCCTTCGCCATTTTGAAAGGGAAGCCTCACCTCAAGAGAGAGTTAATTTATTTTCAAAGCAACAAACTGTGCCAAGGGTTTGCAGAACGTAACCTTTGCCCCAAGATTCCTGCTGGGCACCATCCAACCACACATTTCTATTAACAAGTCACCTTGAAAACATCTGGTCAAAGAATGGATCCCCACCCCCCAAAAAAGGGGGTGGTGGAGATTTTTGTGTGCTTGGAACCAAGGGACTGACAAAAAGTTCTTTGTGAGGGGAATTAGAGATAGCAAACATGGGGGAACTCGCTGAGCTTGGGAAGAAGCTGTTGGCTGATGATTTCCATGGCACGTTGTTCAACAATGCCTTGGCTAAGAGCAATGTTTAGAATTCATATTGACCTCAAACCGCTGTATTGCAAATAATAAGAATAGTAGTAGTAATAATAAAAAGTTTAAAATACAGTGTGTCTGACCCATAGCTAGGCCCTGTTAAAACCAGTTCAAAAGTCATAATTGCTAAGGCTATCAGTAGCTACTGGCCAAGACCGCTATGCTCTGCCTTCACAGTCAGTGGCAAAAGCCACAGAAGTCACTAGAAACTGAGGGAGGGGAGAGGACTCTTGTGCTCAGGTCCTGCTTGAAAGCTTCCCAGAAGAGTCTTCTGGTTGGCCACTGGGAGAAGAGGACACTGGCACAGATGGGCCATTGGCCAGATCCAGCAGGGTTCCTCTTATTACATCATATCCTTACCTCATTGCTTCCAGTAGGACTTAGTCACTCACAACTAGCCAGGGCAGATGTGAGCAGAGTGGTTGGTGGCATATGCCGTGTGATCGAGTCCCAGAGGAAATGCTTTGCAAAGCAACAAGAGCTACTGCTGGATCCGTAAGCCGACTGGGCACCTAGTCTCATTTCTCCCTGCACTGCAAAATGGTTCCAAGATGGTGGTGTAGACCAGGCATAGGCAAACTCAGCCCTCCAGATATTTTGGGACTACAACTCCCATGATCCCTAGCTAACAGGACCAGTGGTCAGGGATGATGGGAATTGTAGTCCCAAAACATCTGGAGGGCCGAGTTTGCCTATGCCTGGTATAAACGCTGCTGCCATGGGTCTTGGTCATGTGACCCCCATGGGTCCAGAGAAGGCACCATGTCCTCCCGCATCATCAAGCACTTCACTCTGAAACGTATCTCCAGTGTGGACATTCTCTAGGACAATATGATCAAGAAGATTGAAATTGCTAAGATATATTGATAAAAAGTGACTGGTTCCTGGTGACATTAGAACACAGCTGACACTAAGTGCGCGGAAAACTCTAGAGCAGAACAGTGTGTGGCTGAATGGCTTCCCTAGACTGAAGCTCTGGATAAAGTGTGTCCAATACAGAGCCGTCTTTCCCATAGGGCTTAGTGGTGTGTCACGCCAGGGCGCCGGCCTCTCAGGGGCGCCCCAGCAAGTGGGGGAGCTGCGCGGCTTTGCCGGCAGCCTCCCCTTTCCCTGCCCGCCAGCTGCGCCCCGCCAACCATAAGGCTGGCAGGCGTGCAGCTTTCCTTCCAAGCTTCTGCAGGTATCGCTCTCCCACAGCGGCATGGGGGAGAGTTGCACCCCCCGGATGGCAGTGCACAGCTACGGCCACCCCAACACTATCCGTGGTAATCTGGGGGCACTGGGTGGATATTTGCACCCTGCTGCCACGTCTGATAAATAGTAGAATCATGGGTAGCCTCAGCTGTGTTGGGCCATAGGGTTGTATTCAACACTGGTCTTACTCAGAGCAGACCCACTGAAATTAATGAGCGTGACTAACTAAGGTCCATTAATTTTAATAGATATACTCTGAAAAGGACTAGCACTGGCTGCAACCCATAATTTTATTTTATTTTTGCTGGGATTTCTTTAGACATAGTGTGCTGTAGAGAATGTCTGGGTTCAAAATGCCCAGTGCATATTTCTTTGAACAGGACTTCGTAGGCACCGCTGACTAATGATGCAGATCCCCCTTTAACTGAGCCACATCTTTGCTGCTCCACACATGACGTCAAGTCTAGGGCAGGTGGTCAGGGTTTGGCCCAAATGGCTTCGTGGGCCAAATGGGGGAGGCCTGACCTGCCTAATTAGGCCAGAAATTCTCCATTTCTGATATAGGACTCAGACTTAAGACAAAGCAATTGAAGTGTCTATCAGTAGGTTAAGGGCATTTGGAGGAGCTCAGAATAGGGTTATTTACCCTTGATGGGGAGCCTGCTTGCTTCTTAATTTCTTTCTTCATAAAACCCCTCAAAGCAGATTATAAAAAGATAAAACAATATAATTACCAATAAGAAAAATTAGCAACAATAATTGAAGACTTGAAAAGTTAAAATAACTGGGAGTGACGCGGTGGCTTGAGCATTTGCAGGCTCTGTGCTTCCCCCCAAAGTCTGCCCATTGCCTCCCCCTCAGCTGTACGGCGACTGAGGCAGGCAGACACTTCAGATACCCCACAGTGCCATTGGGCAATAGGATCCATGGGGTCAGCAGATCCCGATGTAGATCTTTATTCCCTCCTGTTTCTGATTTAGACATTCACTCACACCTTCTTCATCAGCAGGGAGGAGAGTGCCATTTTGTGGTTTGCCTCAGGTGCCAAAACGTCTTTGGTAGGCCCTGCCAGCCAGATAAGAAACACTTTAGGCAGGCGCAGCCTAGGGCAGAATCTCAAGGGCCAGCTAGAGAGGCCTCTGGGGCTGTGAGGTTCCCCACCCTTGACCTAGATGCTTGATGTGCCAAACCCCTTGAAGTGCCTCATCATCTTGACTTTCAAATGTGTTCATTCTCTCTCTCCCACTCTCTATGTTTGGCATGGAGCCAAGTTACAGTAGGAAGAAGCAGCACTGACTGATCTCAAGCAGGGCATATATAAAACCAGCACTGCTAATTATTTTGCAGTAATTACCTGGAAATTATATGTATGTTGTTTGTGCAATAGTGGGTGCTGCTATTTTTGAACTCGC